ATGTTTTGACTAACAGTATGGTTAAGCATGAGTCCCATTTTCACAGACACTCCTATGTGATCATTCTTGTTCTTTGACCGATGAGAATATCACAGAGGGCATGAAAATCATTTCATTTTGGTCTGCAGTCGTGCTTAAGGAAAATTGTGCAAAGATGATGCTTCCTAATAAAGGAGCTTTTCCTCTTGTTATTTTCATTGAATATTCATATTGTGGCAGCACCTAGAAACATCAACCCATTTAGACTCCCTTAGGGTAGGTGCTGTAAACAAGTATGATAAATGATTCCTTACTGAAAAATCTCTAGTCCACAGAATGTGAAAAACCTTAATAATCTTATTCATCTTTTTTACCTAGTCTTTAACTTGCACTGACTGCAAGGCAGGTAAACATTGAGGACCAGTTTAACGAAGAACAAAAGCATGAGCCTAACTGTTAGCACTTAATCCCATTGATGTCAGTAAAACTACAGCTAGGCAGACTGTCGAGGCCCCTGCCCTAGAAGGATCTGAGTTAAGGAGGAAAGGTGTGGCACAGTGACATGAAGAGGAAAACAAGGGTGAAGAGAATTTTGTTAAAAAGGAATCAAAAAGTTGCATGTGGGGGGAGAATGAAGAAGAACATAAGAATGGCCACACTGGGTCAGACCAAAGGTCCATCTAGCACAGTACCCTGTCTACCGACAGTGGCCAATGCCAGGTGTCCCAGAGGGAGTGATTCGAACAGGTAATGATCAAGCGATCTCTCTCCTGCCATCCATCTCCACCCTCTGACAAACAGAAACTAGGGACACCATTCCTTACCCATCATGGCTAATAGCCATTAATGGACTTAACCTCCATGAATTTATCTAGTTCTTTTAAACCCTGTTATAGTCCTAGTCTTCACAACCTCCCCAGGCAAGGAGTTCCACAGGTTGACTACACGCTGTGTGAAGAAGAACTTCCTTTTATTTGTTTTAAACCTTCTGCCCATTAGTTTCATTTGGTGGCCCCTCGTTCTTCTATTATGGAAACTAATAAATAACTTTTCCTTATTCACTTTCTCCATGCCACCTCTATCATATCCCCACTTAGTTTCCTCCTTTCCAAGTTGAAAAGTCCTACTCTCTTTAATCTCTCCTCATATGGGACACATTCCAAACCCCTAATCATTTAGTTGCCCTTCTCTGAACCTTTCTAATGCCATTATATCTTTTTTGAGATGAGGAGACCACATCTGTATGTAGCATTCAGAACTCCTTTGGTTTTCCCCTGCAGCCTCTCCCATGCTTGTTATACTATCCTCTAGATCCCTTCTTTTCTTCTTCATTGTTCCCTTTTCTTTTGCCTTTCACTTTTCCCTCTTTCCTTCTAAAACTCTCCATATCTTGAAAAGTTTTCATCGATCCTTTCTTTTTATTAAATCTTCTTCTTGCAGCTGCCACTAGCTTGCCCATGCCTTTCTCTTTGCACTGCCAACCTCCCTAGTGGCCCATTCTGCCAATGACTGACAGGAAATCCTGCCTGCGGCAGCACCAATTCAACAGCAACAGGGACTAGTAACAGTAGCCACCTGTGCACTAAAAGATTAAAGAAAGGCAACCAGAAATAGAGCTCAGAACCCTGATGCTGCTGTGCAATGATTAAATTTGTCTCTTTAACAGAAGTAAAGCTGACGTGTATTGTGCAAAGTGAGATCAGTATCCTGCTTGTATGGGTAATGCATTGCCTATTCCTATTTATACAGTAAGGCTAAGTGAGTTTTAATAGCAGTAGCTGTGTAAAGCAGTTTTCTGGTCCCATTCAGGTCATGAGGAATATGGTTGCATTCAGTATTAGTTTGCAAATTGCACTTTCGTGGGTTTGACATAAAGTGATGAGGAATTGAATAAAATGTAAAATCATTCAGCGCCATTAATTCTGCCAAGGGTGGAACTGATGCAAAATCTCCTTTTTAAATTCTCACTGTGACAGCAATGACTCAATACATCCATTAGAGTCCAGCTTTCAGGGGCTGCAGATTAAAATCGCCAAGCAGTGGCTTTAGACAAGAAATTGAACAGAGCTGAAATGATAAAAAACCCTGGGCATTTTGGGAGCAGTCCTGAATTGGGGCTATTGTCACAACTAGTTTTGATCAAGGAGATGACTAGTTTTAACTCTCTTCCTACAGCGACCAGGGAAGATTGCATGGTTTAAACACTTTTCCATGGCTTTCCCATCAATCACTTGCTGTGTTTTCTCTATCTTCCAGTTGTGCCCTCTGAGATGAGGTGGCTTGAGCAGCTTGTGATCCTTCTGTAATTGTGACATTCCTTCCTTTCTCTCAAGCCTTCGGGTCTCACCCCTGCACTGAAATACATTCAGCCTTCACTATTCACCCCTACATACCTGCATTAAAGATCACTGAATGGCCGTCAGTGATTGAGATGTAAAATCACTGTCATCAGCAATAGTCCTCAAAATGTTGCACTGCTAGGGAATGTCACTGCACATCCTGAGGTTTTGGGGCCCCTTTAAAATAGCAGGTAGAATAACACACAATAGAATCTGCACTACACTGTTTCCTGTGCAGTAGCTCATTTTATAATAAGGTTTAAAAGATCTAATTCCATGAGCCACTGTTCTGTTCCCTGCTTTAAATCTCTCCTGTAGAGCATCCACCATTTTCCCTTTTGGTTGTGATTCATTTGCTCTCTAAAGCATTTTGTAACAGAATGTAGAAAAAAACCCACTAAAAAATAAACAGCACTGTAGTGGTACTATATCAGACACTCTAATACAGATGATCCAGGGATATCACAGCTAATAACATTGTAGTTCTCAATCTAGACGCGCTTTTGTGCAAAAAAGCCCCAATCGCCATTTTAGCCATTGGGGCTTTTTTGCACAAAACAGTACACTGGCCCTCTTGCGCAAATGATTTGCGCAAGAAGGCTTTTGCCCGAACGGGAGCAAGATAGTATTTCCGCAAGAACACAGACAATCTTACATAAGATCGTCAGTGTTCTTGCGGAAATTCAAGCGGCCAGTGTAGACAGCTGGCAAGTTTTTTCGCAAAAGCAGCTGCTTTTGTGGAAAAACTTGCCAGTCTAGATTCAGCCAGGGAGTTTAAGGTATTTTCCATTCATATCACAGTGAGGTGGGTAGAGTAAGAAATAGCCTTTAGGGGTGTGACTACACTGCACCCTTACCTTAAATAAGCTACACAGTTTGTGCTATGCAAATTGTGTAGCTTATTTCGAGGTATTTTCGAAATAGCCTATTTTGAAATTTGGTATTTTCTACACAGCACCAAATTTTGAAATAAAGCGCTATTCTGACACATCCCTTAACCCTTGTGGAACACAGGTTGCAGCAATGCCAGAATAGCAAACCTGTACTTTTGAAATCTATTTTGAAATAACGGGCGGCTTTAAAGATGTGGAATAGCTATTTTGGGATATTTCCCTGAAAGAACTCTGCAGTGGAGACATAGCCTAGTTTTGTCCGTCCTCCCCTTTTTAAAGGTCATGAGCTGCTTCAAAGAAAGAATCTGCATTAGTCTCATATCTTAGTGGACAACTGTCTATAGGTCATTCCTTTTTCAGGTTGCTTTTAACAAGGGGGAAATACAATCCGAAGGTTAGAACACAGAGCTTTAGAGTCAGGCATTCCAAGATCTGCCACTGACTCACCTTATGACTTTAACCTCACTGCTTAACCTCTCCATGACTCCATTTCCCTATTGGTGAAGTACAAATAGCTAAGTACTGTCTATTTTGTGAACCATAGGGAATGTACGTGAAGAGCACAAAGGGCCTGGAATAATACTTACATATGATTAATTCACTTCTAATTTCTTCATCCCACAAATCTAGGAACAGATATAATTCAATATGCAGCAGTATGCCCCCATTTATGATGCCACCTGATGTACCAAAATACCACTGAGCCTGCCTGTTCTTCTAGCCTGGGCACCCTTTTTTGCTGAGCCAGGCTCTTCGCCTCCTCCAGCGCACACACAGGTGGAAAACCACCCAGTTGCAGAATCACACAGACTCTGAGATCAATTCTAGAAAGTCTCAGCTAGTTGCCCTAGCACTCAAGTGCCCAATTCTCCTCCAGTGCAGACTCCTAAATCTTCCCATTCTCTCAATGTGGAGGAATGGGTGCGCAGCCTCTTATGCGCCCCTGCTGCACATTATGGATTATACAAACTGGGTTTCGGAGTAAACAAAAAATAAGTTTATTAACTAGAAGGAGTAGATTTTAAGTGTGTATAAGTGATAACAAAGACAGCAAAGCAGATTACTAAGCAAAAAAATGCAAGCTAAACTTAATACATTCAAAAACAGGTTACAAAATGTGATTTCATATGTTAAATATTATTTTAGGTAGGTTGCAAAACTTCTGCAGCTCAGAGTTCCAGTTATGTCTTTTTTCAGATTGGACCCCTATCTCAGTGTGGACTCCCCCTTCCCTTCCCTTTGAATGTCTTGAGCAGACAGGCAAGGGAGTAGAGTCCCATTTGCTTTCCTCCCCACCCTTAAATAAGATTTATATGAGGCAGGAATCTTTTGTTTCCTAAACTTAACCTCCCCCTCGCCTTTTAATGGAAAATTACATGTCCAAGATAATGTTTAATATCAGGTGACAAGAACACCTGAACCATTAGTGTCCCAGCTACTCCAAGGATGAGTCTCAGGAAGGAGAGATATTAGTATCTTCACAGTCTTAATGGCTCATCAAGGCTGATGACTTATTATCTGGTGACTGTCTTCCAAATACACACCCAATTGAAATAGTTGTATAGTCAGTATTCCTAACTTTAGATAGAGAAGTGCTACATGTATACAAATTGGATAATGACATTCAGTAAATCATAACCTTTCCAATGACATCTTACATGAATCCCCTTGCATGAAGTATGTATTATTTATATTCATATCATAACTATTTTTCTATGAAGATGATGTGGTGTAACATCAGTCACTCAGATGAATTAAGGCATTTCTCTCTCTCTTTTTGTTTTTGTTTTTTGTTTTTTGCAGTGCAGACAACTCTGAGATCATGCAGATTGATTTTGAAATTGAAGACCTCAGTGATCTACCTGGGACGCAGCTTATCACATGGCAGGTTGAATATCCTGGGGATACATCGTCTGATCTAGGAGTCTCCAAGATCTATGTAAGCCAGAAGGATCTTGTAGGAGTCTTGCCTTTGGCGATGGTAAGGGACTGCCCGTTACTTTGTGAGGTCTAAATGTTGTTTACCACTGTGGCAGCAAAGGTATATACACTCTGGCTATGTCTAGACTGTAGGCTTCTTTTGGAAGAAGCTTTTTTGGAAGAGATCTTCTGAAAAAACTTCAGAAAGAGAGTGTCCACACAGCAAAAGCACATTGAAAAAGTGATCTTCTTTTTTAAAAGACAGCATCCATTCAGTATGGATACTATCTCACATTTCAGCTGTGATTACTATGGATGGAGTGGCCACCAGGGCAATTGTTCATCTTCGTCTTTCCTCTTCTTTTGAAAGAACTCCCTCTTCCCCGTCCACACATGCCTTTTCCCAAAAGAGCTCTTTCAGAAAAAGGTTTCTTCCATGTAGAAAGAGGTTTATCAATTTCAAGAAAACCCCTTTTGTTCTTTCAATTTTTTGTCAAAAGAACGCGATTGCAGTGTGGACGTAAGTGAAGTTTTTTCAGAAAAACAGATGTTTTTCTAAAAAAAAAACAACCCCCTCTGTAATGAAGACATAGCCTCTTTGTAAAAGGATAAGAAAGAATTCCACTGTAACGATAAGGGTTTTCCTAGGACTTGAGTGCAATGTTCTTACCTTGTTTCTAGTTGATCAGAGAAAACCAATTACAAGTTTCATTCAAGAGCACTAATAACTACACAGTTAGACAATTAATTTTATTTCCCTAAAGTGTTACAATATAATTAATATTGACATGACTCTATAAATTGAGTTAGTCAAATCAACTTGTTAACAGTAATACAATTAAAAATTGGATAACTACAAAACACACAACTTAAGATCAACTATCGGTCAAGTTATTGCATGAATGCAACAGTAATCAAATCACAAAGTTAACATAACACAAATGATTAAATTACTAATTTAATCTTTCAATCTCTGTGGGGTTTACTTAGCAGCTTCAACTTTACCTTGTGGAAATAATAAATTCCGATTCAATTCTTTAGGTATCCCAGGTGATTCTTAGTGATCTATGATAAGAGTTGCTTCAAACATATGTTAATCATTCCTAATGGTAGCTTATACTATGCATATATACTCTTTTGCTATATACATATATACTCATTACTATTAATGGACATCCCCTCTCCAAAAAAATATTAGGATTGGTCTTTCTGGATAGGCATCCATGACCAGGTGTTCAAATGTCCTGTTAAAGAACCAAAAAGAATAAAGTCACTTAGAAAAAATAATATCTGCTCTTTAGCCTGCTGGTCTTGCAGTGTCTCAGAGTTGGTCAGCATTTGGGAAACCAGGCAGAGTCTTGTGGCTCAGATACCATCACACAAATAGGCAATTTCCTTTTAAAGTGTGTGACAAGTTTGTCCCCTTCCCAGATAAATAATATTAGAGAATAACAGGAGGGGATTATTCCCAGATGATCTCAATCTCTTGTGTTTTGGTGAACAGCTAAGATTCTTTAATGTTCCTTCACCATTGAGGACCATTGCATTCCAAGTCATAGCATAAGACCCATTGTCCTTGGAGTTACAAAAACACAAATACAGTTCCTTACCCATTCACACATTTCATGTTCACATTTCCACATAGACAAGGCTTCATAAATAAAAATAATAAGAAGGTATGGAATTGTCAGCACATCTAGGTTACAGGGGAAAAAATATTTCATTTTCCCAAAGCTCATAATCAAGCTGCTTCATTAATTTCTTTAAAATATAACCTAGTAAACTTTATACTCTGTGTCTATATGAGTGGGTACTTGGATGTTATACCACTATCTCAGTAAAACAGCTTCTGACCTCCAAATCTGTTTCTCATTTATTGCTGAATGTATGCATAAATATATGCACTGTCGCCTGCGTAGAGTCTAATCCTGCTCCTTTTGAATACATTTTTTGCTGTTAACCTCAAGGAGAGTAGGGATTGAGTACATGGTCACAGCATCCTCAGTATTTTACCCTAACACCTACTGTAGCACACAAGGATGGCCCCAGAATGCCTACCATTAAGCCTATGAGTATAGGTTAAACCTCTTTAGTCTCTCAGAACCTGACAGGTGCTGAACCAGAGAATTTGCCAAACCACAGGAGGTCAATATTGTCATAGAATCATAGAATCCTAGAGCTGGAAGAGACCTCAGGAGGTCATTGAGTCCAGCCTCCTGCCCTAAGCAGGACCAACCCCCAACTAAATCAACCCAGCCAGGGCTTTGTCAAGCTGAGACTTAAAAACCTCTAGGGATGGAGATTCCACCTCTTCCCTAAGTAACCCATTCCAGTGCTTCACCACCCTCCTCATGAAATAGTTTTTCCTAATATCCAATTTGACCTCCCACACTGTAACTTGAGCCCATTGCTCCTTGTTCTGCCGTCTGTCACTACTGAGAACAGCCTCTCTCCATCCTCTTTGGAACAAGAGCAGCATTACTAACACTTCCACTGTTTACTGGGCTCTCAGAAGACATTCATTTTGGGGTAAATTTCAGCTGAACCATAGCACAGAATACTGACAGTCAAGACTGACAGCTGTAAACAAACTTTAGGTGGTTGCGGGAAACTTGGTCACACTTATGCAGCTAACTAAAATCATACCAGACCACAAATATTGCTGGAGGTTCAACCTTGTACTCCCATTTGTAATATTTAAATTTAGGCTCATTCTTAATCATCTTCCTGAAATGGATACTTTTATTGCTTTTGAACTCTGGCTCTGATTTATGTGAGGGGCAACCAGTCATGATGTGTCACTTTCCAAAGAACTGTGAAGTATGTGGATAATGAAAAGTACTATGTAAACTGATCTAATCCTGCTCACAAGGATAACTCCATAATCAAGATACAAAGAAGATGCTTAACAAAGCATGTTGTTCTTTGACCTTGATCTCATCTAAGACACTTGGATGCTCCAGATTCACACTGGAAACAATGTGTTATGTGGTTCGCCCACCCCCCTTCTTCCTCCCCCCACACACAATTCAATTACCTTCCTGTCAGGAATAAAGTATAATCATCCAAGATTTGATTGCCCAGTGTCTGCCCCTAGACCATCAATTAGAAAATATTGACACATGTTATTATTTAGCACTGAAAGAAAAATAAAAATCAATCATGAAGTGTTTAAAAATAAAAGGAACCTGGATTGTTGCCTAGTGACAGCCAGTTAATTATTATGCCATTAGTGAAGGTTGAGAGTGTTATTGTGCACATCAGAACTACACACAGCTGATATAGGCCATTATTGTAATTTACCAACTTTAAAACAACTCAGATGTCATTCTGACAATTACTTTCACCAAATGGTATTTCACACACACACACACTTACTTTTTAAAAAAGACTCTTGTTTCCAGTGCTGCATTAGCTATAATTGTTGAAACAGCTGCGTCCATCTGGGACTGTAGTCACCTATCACATTCTAGCCGTGTTTTTTATAAATGCTTTGTTGTGCAGGAGTGTTTCCATCTGCTAATTCTCACATTCAAGTACCGGGTGAGCTCTGCTGCTTTGTTGATACCACAGAGAACCCTGGGTGGAGATCTGAACTTCCACAAAGTTTGGAGGTATTCAGAGCTGAAACCCTAGATCTGATCTGTATTATATGATCTATATTATGGGCAATTGTGATTGCACCATGTCCAGATGAATGTATGTGTTGCCTTCCTTGCAGTGTTAGCGGAGGAATACACTATTTCTGCTTGTATGTGTTCATAATACAAAACACAGCAGGATGTAGCAGATCACATTTTTTGGCCAGTCTTTTTAAAAGAAACAGCCATGTTCCTTATCATTTGTGCAAAACAGCCAGGACTCTGCCATCACTCTACAGATAAATGGGACGTGTTGTCAATAAATCTAGAATTGTATACTCACTTCATTATGAAGCTTACAAAGTAGTGGTAGGTGCAAGGCAACAGGTGTTTGGAGTACTGGGTGGCAGAGGAAGCATAGGTATGTGGCAGGTGTTTCATCATTACTGACAAACCAAGGACAGACTTAACCTACTTTATATTTACTGCATTGTTCATGAAAAATCTAAACATCTTTGTAGTACTTCACTCTGCACTTAGTTAATGATGATTCAGGTACAGATCTTTCAAGTTGTGTAACTCTAGTCTGGCACTTCAGAATTCCATGTGACTTTGTCAGAGCCAGGGCTTTTTTGGGAAAGGAATTGGGGGTAAAGAAATAATAAAAAGTACACATAAAAGCCATATAAGCCAAAATCTGTGTCCAGGGAGAACAGCAATGAAAGCATATCTGTTAAACTGCTCAAATATTTCTGAGAGTTGGAACCAACTCAGGTTAGCTTTGTTGGGCTTTCATTATTTATGGAGCATGTAATTTCATGTTTGCAACCACCAAACTGCAGTGCAAATGAACATGGTGATTAAAGTGAATCTTCCAAAGAACATTTTTACATCTTAAAATTTCATACATGTTTGTAGGCTACCACTTAATACCCTTGCACCCTTTTCTATTCTACAATTTCTTTTTTGTTTACTGTCATGGATTTGTGAGTCAGTAACAGCAGCTTATCAGCCAGTTTGATGTAATATATTTTTAAGCTAGAAAACTCTAAGAGAAAAGATAATTAAATTCTGATTAATGCATCAGACTATAGATTCTATCCTGTGTCATATCAACATCAAGGTTTATTGGAAATCTCCTATCCCCATTAATATTATTAGGACTGTTGCTACAACATTACCTTTCCCCAGTATGGGGGTCAGTTTTATGAAGAAGTCAGCATTTTAAGTATTGAGACTTTGCAGGACTATTCAGCAACAAGAAGCTTAGAAGAGCTCTAGGGTCCTGATGAAAAAAGCTGTGCTGTGCATGTTATTGATGTGTGGGTACCATAAAGACCAGCCGTTTCTGACACTTTAATAACTAAGCCCTTTCTAATTTTAAAGCATGACAAAATCCATTTAGGCAAGTTATGCATGGGAGCCTAGCATGCTCTTGCCATCAGGCTTTAAGGTAGCACAGCCAAAGACATGTTTCATT